ACATCACCGAGCGCTATGGAGAAGTCACTTCGTTTGGTTGAGTGATGAAACCTGAAGTTGTCTTGTTGTATACAAACCCCTTCGAGTTTATGCCTGGAAGCTCATGTCAGTTGGTAGCTGGAGATTAAAGAATGCTACATTGCTTCTTTGCCTGTACCTGATACCCCAGGTCAGCAATCCGTTCGAATGCNNTGCCAGAAGTTGTGCCAAAGCGCCTGCGGGCGCTGCGTCCGGTGGTCTTTCGTGATCACCAACGAAGAGCGGAAGCGCGGAAGATGCCGCTTCACCAGGAACGATGGCTTCTATGAAATCAAGAGCCCCTCCTCGGTGAGTGGACCGAAGTCATGTGGAGATATCACTAAGTATCTGATGGGCAGAGCAGTCAACCGGTTTTTTTTGGTGGGTGGCGAGGGATACGCAAAACTCTCTTAAGAACGTTTTTAGCTGGTTTCTTCGCTGTACGAAGCTCAGCATGTAAGGTATCAGCCAGATACTTGGCAAGAACACTCTCAACCCAAACTTTGCAAAGACATGGGAGCTTTTCCGGAGATGAAAGATGCAGAGACCTGTAAGAAGGCGTGCTTTGTGGATGCAGGCCCTTCAGCATGTGATGGGTTGGAGGAAGGTTTGGAGCTAACCCGTAGACCCTGAACTCTTAGCGAAGCCTTATAGTAATGTAAATGTAGGAACCTGATTAAGAAACCCTGGCCATAGAAGCCCAAAATAGTAGGATTCATATAAAGAACCCTAATAAAGGCCCAAGGTTTCTTAGTCAGGTTCCTGCATTACCCTTCCTTGCATAACGCGGCATAGAACCCTTAGACCCTAAACCCCGAAATCTGTCGGCTCTAGTGCTGCGGTAGGCATGGGGCATCTGTCCCCCGCAGCTTAGGGCTTAAGTTTAGGATTTAGGGTTAAGTCTCAGGGTTTAGGGTGTAGCGGTTCAGGGTTTAGGCGGTTGTTTTACAGGAGTGCTGTGAGAGCTTGCCGTTCCACGCAATCCATTCTGCAGGGGCTGCGCTACACAGGTTACTTTTAGCACTACGAGCGCTGCTACCACGTGGGCCAAACTTTGTCTTTGACTCGAACTGCCCAGTCCATCATCGATGTCTTTTCCGCTGCTGCTGATCCTTACAGCACGGGCCATAGAGCGAGCTCAAAGCCCAAAGAGGGAGGTATTCACACTCCTGTTCTCTCTGTTTTAGGCTGTGCGGCTAGGATATGCCAAGCCAATGTTGCAGTTCCCCAAACTTAAATCCCCCACCTTGGTCCCAATGCTCCAGCTCCCCAAGCCTGAACCCGAAGCCTTGGCCCTGTTCCTGACAGATTGCAAAGTGGCGCAGATGTCCGGCGGCATCTGTTGGACCGGAATCGGCAAGGACACAGAGCCATAAGACCCTAAAGCCTCAAAGCCCGAAGCCCTAAAGCCCCAAAGCCCTAGAGCCCCAAGACCTAATCTCAATCGCCTCAAGCCCTAAACTTCTGAACCCTGAGACCGAAAGCCTTGTCCCTAAGCCCCCCCAAACCCTTCTAGAACCCCTGAAGGAACGTTTGTAGCAATCCGGATAGAACCTTCACGGAACCCTGCAAAGACGCCTAGATGCCAGGACACCTAAACGATCAATACCCGAAATCCTAAACCCCAAATCCTAAAACCCAAATCCTAGATCTTGTGCCGAAAAACTCAACGCCCTAAACCCCCAAATTCTTAAACCCTAAACCCTAACCCCCAAATCCTCAACCCTGCAGCCTAAACCCTAAATCCTCAGCCCTAAACCCTAGGACACCTGCAGCAGGGCCCCGACCAGCATGTCTCTGCATAAAACGAGAACCGCAACTCGCTGCGCAAGGGCGAGTTTAGGTTTTGACAGGGTTCAGGGATGCAGGGTTTAGGGTTTAGGTTTGGATAGGGGTTCAGGGATTTAGGGTTTAGGGTTTAGGTTTGGATAGGGTTAAGGGATTTAGGGTTTTGGGTTTTGGGGTTTAGACTTTAGGTAGGGTTCAGGGTTTCAGGGTTTACGGGGTTTAGGGTTTTATGGGGTTTAGGGCTTTAGGGCTCCTAGTTAAAAGGGTTCCGAGTTCCGTTCAGGGGTGGTACAAGGGGTATAGGGTTTGGGGGGTTCAAATATCCCTAGAAACCTAGAGCTTGGTGCCGCCCTAAACACTAAACCCTAAACCCTAAACCCTAAACCTTATAAACCCTACAAACCCTATAAACCCTATAAACCCTGAACCCTAAACCCGAACGCTAGAACCCCCAAGCCTGAGAGGAATGCCCTGCAGTAACACAGCATGGCCTACGGCTGGCACCGCAACAGAGCAGATGCTCTACCCATAGGCTCCTAAGTAGTTCGTTTTGGGGATTACCTTATAGGATTCTAAATATGAACCACAAAAAGGAACTACTTAGGAGCCTATGGGTAAAGCCTAATCCCTCATACCCTACAGCCTGAGGCTCGAAGCCTTAAGCCCTAAACCTATCACTCCAAGCCCTATATAATCCCTATAAAGCCTATTTTGATGGAAGCCGGAAGCTTGGACATAGGTCTGAAGAACGGCTCTGAGAATAGGTTTCGGACGTAGGGTGAAGGGTGTAGGGTTTAGGGTTTAGGTTTCGGATTTAGGGTTTATAGGGTTAAGGGATGTTAAGGGTAGTTTTCTCACATCAGCTTTCCGGTTAGCGGGGTTGCCTTTGAGCCCCTGTCACCTCTTCAACAGAGACCCCAAAAAGCGTCCCGAAAGCATCCTGACCCTAAGCCCTAAACCCGACAACCCTAAGACCCAAAACCCAGGGTTTAGGGTTTAGGGCCCCTAAACCCTAAAACCCTAAACCCAAAACCCCCCTAAACCCCCCAACCTAAGACCCTAAACCCCTCCAACCCCCACCCTCACCCGCGTTCCGAAGGCCAATCAGATGCATGGCTCCGGCCGCTTCAAATGGCCGGATGGCCGCACCTACCAGGGCCAATACGTCCAGGGACTGAGGCTCGAAGTTGATGATCGAAATCCTGCATTACCTTAAGGACCCTAAAACTCTGGGAATTGCGGTATATTCCTGATTATGAGGCTCGAAGAGTGACTGGTTCTTAGTCGGGAG